TAAACTCAAAGTGTTGTAAAGTAAGTTTTTAGGAGCTTAAAGATCTGAAAGTTCTTTTGACAAGACTGAGGGCACTGTCTTAACTTTATTTTTTTAATTTTTAAAATATTTTAGATTTTATTTATTTATACAAGCACTGGGTACAGTCAGAAGCGTGGGAGGGTGAGAGAATTCACCAGAGCCAGAGCGGGGAGCAGAGCAGGCAGAAGGGCCGAAGTACACTGCTGAGGGGAGCAGCGGGCGGCAGGAGAGGTCTGCGCGCCGTGTGGGACCCTCCTTCGGTGGCTGGGGAGCAGCCGGGGATCGAACCGGCGCTGCAGAGGCTGCGGGCAGCTTTGCAACCCAGCGCTCAACCTCTGCGATACCGTGGAGGCCCAACTTTATTTTTTTTTTTTAAAGATTTATTTATGCATACAAGAGCTGGGGTGCAGGCCAGGGGTGCAGGCCAGAGGTGCAGGGGAATGAGAGGATTCACCAGAGACAGAGTGGGGAGCAGAACAGGCAGATTGACTGAAGTACACTGCTGAAGGTTGCAGCAGGTAAGACAGGAGAGGTCTGGGCCTCCCCTGTGGCGCAGCGGTTGAGTGCTGGGTTTTGAAACTGCCTGCAGCCTACGCAGCGCCAGTTCGATCCCCGGCTGCTACCCGGCCACCGGAGGAGGGTCCCACATGGCCCGCAGACCTCTCCTGCAGCCCGCTGCTCCCCTCAGCAGTGTACTTCGGTCCTTCTGCCTGCTCTGCTCCCAGCTCTGGCTCTGATAAATTCTCTCACCCTCCCGTGCTTCTGACTGTACCGTGTTTGTATGAATGAATGAATAAATAAATAAATCTTAAAAAAAAAAAAAAAAAAGACAGGAGAGGTCTGCTGCGCCATGTGGGTAGCTCCCTGGCCGGGGATTGAACTCACGCTGCAGTGGCTGCCAAAAGCTTCATAGATTGCATCTAAACCCCTTGCACCACGAGGAAGGCACTATCTTAACTTTATGGTATGAGTTCAGAGGTGAACTATGGGCTTTGGATAGTACTAAGATGTCTATGCAGATTACACCAAATTGTGCCACATCTGGGAGAATGTTAATAATGGGCGAGGCTGTGCATGTGGTGAGGCAGGAAAGGGGGCACTTGCAAGTTGTGCCCCTCTTTGCTTGTCTAAATCTTTCCCATCTTTAATATCAGGTTCTGTTTCTTTCCAAGGAACTTAAAGTACTCACAGGGTGCAGGCCAGTTTATGGACGATCTCTTTACTTTCCCTCAATTTTGTTGTGAAACTAAAACTGCTTTTTATTCCCCCTTTTGGGGAGGCAAGAGGATGGGAATGGGAGGAAACAGAAATCTAGGAAAACTTAACCTTTCGTTGATACTGAAAAACTTTTAATTGCCTCTGTTCAGGTTAGAAATATAATACAATCAATTCTCTTAATATTATTGGAGTGTTTAAAGTTTTTGTAGTAGAATTTTGTATAAGACTAGAGTTACTCTCGGGTTAAGTTTCAGCACTGTGAAGCTATCTGCAGCCACTGCGGCAGGAGTTTGATCCCCGACCAGGGAGCTAACCCACTGGCGCAGCAGACCTCTCCCATCTTGACCGCTGCTCCCCTCAGCAGTATATTTCAGTAGATCTGCCTGTTCTGCTCCCCACTCTGTCTCCGGTGAATCCTCTCACCCTCTCCCCCACATCTCTGAACTGCACCCAAGCTTTTGTATGCATAAATAAATAAATCTTAAAAAAAAAAAAAGAATGGTTTGACATTGATGGTAATTTGATTGTCTCATTAAGAACTTAAATTTGGGGCCTCCCCGGTGGCGCAGCGGTTGAGCGCTGGGTTGCGAAGCTGCCCGCAGCCTCTGCGGCGCCGGTTCGATCCCCGGCTGCTCCCCGGCCACTGGAGGAGGGTCCCACATGGTGCACAGACCTCTCCTGCCGCCCGCTGCTCCCCTCAGCAGTGTACTTCGGTCCTTCTGCCTGCTCTGCTCCCTGCTCTGGCTCTGGTGAATTCTCTCACCCTCCCGCGCTTCTGACTGTACCCAGTGCTTGTATAAATAAATAAACAAATAAATCTTTTTTTAAAAAGTTAATTAAAAAAAAGATCTTAAATTTGAACTTGAATTGTTTGACGTCACGGCGGGGTGCCTATCTGGAGAGAGGTCTGAGTTTGTTGTTAAATATACCAATGTTTCTCTTTGTCTAGGTTAAGTGAGATGAATCATCATCTTCATATTCATTATCACATCATATGTTTGGGAATTTTCAGCATCTTTTCTCTCATAATGTGTTAGAATTATACTGAGACCCGTTTAAGGTCAGTTCTATTATTATGACTGACATTATTATTATAGTGAGAGATATTAACTGATACTGCAAATTGTTTTTTCTTTTATATACATTTACACTTTCTGTGTATTTCACCTTTTGCTGATGAGAGATAAGATTAATTCATGTGGCAGGCTGAGCGCATTTTTTTTTTTTTTTGACTAGTCTTTTTTTAATTTAATTTGTTTTTCACATTACCTACCACCACCCCAGCATCCCATTGTTGGCCATCTCTGTTCTAAATTTTCACCATCACAATTCCTTATATCCCTCCTCCCTTCTTACCTTTAGAAACCTCACAGTATTTATTAATGTCCACTAGTTTTTGTAAGTATTTTATTTTGTGCAATCATCTGCTTTGTAAAATTGCAGTGTTAATCTTTGTCATTCTGAGTTGCTTTTTTACACACAATTCCCTTGAACTTCCTCCAAGTTGTTGAAAGTGACTGTATTTCATCATTCCTTATGGTTGAATAGTGTTCCGTAGTGTAGATATACCATATCTTCTTGATCTGCTCATCTGTTGATATCTTCACTATTATAGTAGTGCTGCAATAAATATTGTAGAACATCTAGGTTTTTTTGTTGTTGATGGTTTTGATGTTCTTTGGATAGATGTCCAAGAGTGGAATTGCTGGGTCATATGTGTGCCCATGGTTTTATCTTACTTTATATGCCATACCTTTTAAAATGAAAAAGTAGGAAAAAGCAGATGGGAGCAAGGAATAAATTAGTAACAGTTAAAAAGTGAGCATGCCATCAATGGACAAAAAAAAAAATTTTTTTAGCAGTTCTTGAGAAAAAGCAGATGGTTCAAATACATGAAAAAAGTGAGATCTGAGGAAACCATAGCCCAAAACACATTATAGAAAACTGTTAGAGAAGTAGGAGTCATTCTGGGGAAGCTCAATTTAAGAGAGAGGAAGAAAAAGCCTCAGAACAGTCCTTCGAGTAGGTTAATTGGCAAGTGCCCTCGCGCTGACTGCTCAACTGGACGCCTCCTTTCTCTCTTGCCGGTCTACACTGTAGCCAGTGAGCATTTGTCCTCAGAAGACTGCTTGAGAATAAGTGTTGGTGGCCTGAGAGGTGGGGGGGATGCTGGAGGTAGCCTCACCCTCTTAGGAGGGTTCATGCAGAAAGTAATGTCCCCTACCCTCAGCAGCACAAGTTCTACCCTTTCCCTCCCCTATAACCACTAGAGACTAAGGGTAAACAGACCCGACAAGCTAAATGAAGTTCAAAGGGGAGTAACAAACATTTGTGAACGACTAGTGCTATGAGTGAGAAGCACCAAATTCAAGGAACAATCGATCTAAATTCTAAGGAAATTATTGAAAGAATAAAACTTTAAAAAATAAGTATAATTAGTATCCTCAAGGAGACTCAAGAATTTACTACACACACACAAATATAACCAGAAATCTTGGAAATTAAGAATAAAAATTAAAATTAAGAATTAAAAATAACTAAGGATAGCAAAATGGGCACATCTGTGGAGCATGTTAGTAAACTGAAAACTGGACTAATTCTCCTTATACAAAGAATAAAATGGCAAAAAGGATTGCATATCTCTTCAGATTAGAACCTAACTTTTAAGCATCTATTAAATTACTTATTTATTTTTTTCCCTCCCCCTCAGTGTCTGTTTATAATAGGAGATCCAGAAAAGTAGAAAGGCAGTAGGCCACAGGAGAGGGAGTTAGAACACATAACAGGAAATGTTTTCCTTAGCATTTTTTAGGACTTTCCATACAGTGTTGAATAATAGCTGATAGGAGTCATCTTTATCTTTTTAATTAATGACAGTGTTTATATCTCATCGTTATTAGCTGTGCTGTAGAATTTTGATAGCTAGCCTTCATGAACTTAAGGGCGTTTGTTCTGCTTCTACCAAAAAGCTGGTAGTTTTGTTGCTGTTTTATGAATGAGTGTTGAATTTTATGCTTTTTGCTGCATGAGTTAAGTGGATAACAAGGGTTTGTTTCTTTAGTTTGTAAATTACATTGACGTGTTAGTATTGAGCCGTCTTTGCATTTGAGGTGAAGACTGTAAACACAAATTGGAATACTCCCAGTCTACTAATACTTTACTTAGGATTTTTTGGGTTTTTAAAAAAGATTTATTTATTTATTTATACAAGCACTGGGTACAGTCAGAAGCACGGGAGGGTGAGAGAATTCACCAGAGCCAGAGCTGGGAACAGAATAGGCAGATGGACCTAAAGCACTGCTGACAGGAGCAGTGGGTGGCAGGAGAGATCTGTGTGCCATGTGGGACCCTCAGAGGCTGTGGGCAGCTTCCCAGCCCAGCATTCAACCGCTGCGCCACCAGGGAGGCCATACTTTACTTAGTTTTATTTAAATGTTCATAAGTGAAATAGGATCATAGCTTTCTCTCTTTATGACTATAGTATATTTTGACCAAAAACTGATTATTCAACTCTTTAAAGAAATAAATCAAAATTAATCAAAGAAGCACATATGTCCCCAAGTTAGAACAAATCTATATTGACAATAATATAAAATTTTATAAAAAATGCTTTGTAAAAAGATAATCTAAACAGTACAGGTTTAAACAGGAAATTTTATTATTTTAAGGAACACAATGAAAGTTTTATAATTTGTTAACTCCTGTTCCTTTTGTATGTTACTCTTCATAATTCTTCTACTGTAAATTTTATTTCTCTTTAGGTACGTATAGCTGCTAAATTCATCACTCACGCACCCCCAGGAGAATTTAATGAAGTGTTCAATGGTGAGTAAAGATTAGGATTTAATTATTTTAAGTCATTTTTAATTACATATAACCATTTATATGTAAATTTGCTTTCACTTCTAACCCTTACAGTACATATTCGTAGCTATAAAGGAAATCAAGCTCTAAAGAAGTTAAAGTAATTTATCAAATGTCACCTAGCTCATAAATGTCAAACCCATAGCTGAGTCAAAAGCAAGTCCTAAACACATAAATTAGGATTTCTATCTTAGGTGAGAAAATGTCTTAAGTAGCTTAGTAATAATAAATGTAGAAATGGTGTCAGATGGTTTTCATAGTTTTATATCTCGCATTATTAATCATCACTTAAATTTTGTCATTGTTTTCGTTCCGGAAGTGCCATAGTATGGTACACTTTTTAGAGCCATTGGCACTGAACTGACTGCATCTGGGAAGCTTGATGATAGACAGATTTCAATACCATCATCCCCTCAAGATTCTCATTCATTAGATCTGGGTGGAATTGAGTGTGTTTTTATGAAATTCTCCCAAATGATTCTGAATTACAGCAGTTTGGGAAACTACTGTTCCACTCCATTTACAACCATTTACAACCTCCCATGCCATTCACTGCCTTAACACAACTTAAATGAAAAATGTAGATGGAGCATCTTGAACTTTGTGATGAAACCAATCCCTGTAATTTTATTTTAAGTTAATAATTAATTCATCTTAAAACTCCCCTTAAGTAAAATTACAGTCTTTGTACATCTAAGTTCACTTTAGCAAACATTTATTTTCAAGTTCTAATTTTACAATGGGTCACCTACTTGAAAGGAACTGTATGATACTCATCTGTACCTAGTCCAGAGCTCTGTACATGCTAGAATGATCAGTAATCGCCACTGGTAAAATTAATGGTGCATAGAAAAAGTAACTAGGAAAACATTTAAACATTAACTATAAGGAGTAAATAACACAATACAATTAAATCAAGGAATTTTTCTATATAGACTCATTGGTGAATTTTTGAGCACTAATAGCAAGAAAACCAAATGAAATCTTTCATTCCCTAATCTTTCTTCCCACATTGACAAATGTAAATTTTCAACAGCTGAGTATTTGGAAAATTCTCTTTAGACTTGAGCTTTCTCTAACAAATTAGCTCAGATAATTTCTCAACTTGACAAAGTTAATGACCTTTGTAGTTAGAAGTCCCTTGTTTTATTTTTGACAACTTAATGTATTTAACAGGGATATCTTGAGAATAATTGATATCAAAACATTAAATTAAAAATTGACAAACTACTTGTGACATGAGGTCTAGTTTTTGTTGACGAGCTATATTCTGGCCTCTGCTAGCTCCCTTCTTTCACAAACTTTTAAGAGACAATGGCCTTTGGCTTGTAATTAGCTTTCCCTCTTCGAGCTAATATGAGGTAGTTTCTTAATAACAAGGACTCTCTTCTTCCAAAAATAAAGTGAATAGACTGTTGACACGCAGCTTGTTAAAAAGGTTGTAGGCTCCCCCATATTAGATTCTCCAAAGAAAAGTATGTTCAGCGATTTTACTGCCATTGACTGAATTCTGCCAGGCTTCCTTGGTCTGATGTTGCACAGAAGACCTTACAGTTCTTCATGTAATTTTAAAGTTTTCTATAGATTTAAAATTGACAGTCCTGGGCCTCCCCGGTGGCGCAGCGGTTGAGCGCTGGGTTGCGAAGCTGCCCACAGCCTCTACAGCGCCAGTTCGATCCCCGGCTGCTCCCCGGCCACCAGAGGAGGGTCCCACATGGCGCGCAGACCTCTCCTGCCGCCCGCTGCTCCCCTCAGCAGTGTACTTCGGTCCCTCTGCCTGCTCTGCTCCCCCCTCTGGCTCTGGTGAATTCTCTCACCCTCCCACGCTTCTGACTATACCCAGTGCTTGTATAAATAAATAAATAAATCTTTAAAAAAAAAAAAAGTATGTCTTGTTTTAAAAAAATAAATAAATAAAAATAAAAAAATAATAAAATTGACAGTCCTAATTGTAACCTTCTGTAAACCATGTTTTCATTTGCTATGAAATTTCTTGAGCATCTGTTGTTGGATTATTGTACCATAAATAATTGTGTGTGCATTAGCATGTTTGCATTTAGAGAATTTCTACAAATACAATATATCAAAATACTAAACTTTGTAGACCCCGACTTTTAAAAACTCTAATCTAGAAGTCTTAAAATTTCTCAAGTTTTTCCTCTACTAGACGTCTTAACATCTTTTAACATTTTTATCTCCTCAGATGTCCGGCTACTACTTAATAATGACAATCTCCTCAGGGAAGGGGCAGCGCAGTAAGTATCTTTCTAAATTCACATGCATAACTTTCTAAAATTGGATATACTATGCTGAAGTGGCACGGGCCATGCTACTCATGCTGTCTGACAAGGTCCAGGCATGGGTGAAATCCCTGACTTTTCAGGGATTTCATAGCTGGCTCCCGCCGGATCCTTTTCCTTTTGTTTATGGAAGTTCTTGTAATTGTGGCAATTTTTCACACTTGAACCTAAATACAGATGACGTGATCAGAAATAGTTTTTACAACTGATTGTTCCAGTTATGTTAGTACTGCAAAACAAGGCAGTACGAAAAACATGTATGAATAACATATCCCAAAATAACCAGAGTTTCTCTCTGCTTGGGGCTAATAACTCGAATTCTAATATTTCCTAATCCTCTGGGCATAAGAACTAAACTACACTCCGGAAACTATGAAAAAACAAAGCCTAACTGACTCTGGCCCCTAACAAATAACCATACGCCACTCTCTTTTATACAGTAAATTTATGAATATAATGAACTTTTCCACTCCTGCTCTCGATTTTCACCCGACCCTTTCATTTGCAGAGTTCTTTGATAAAAAGGATTATTAAATGGTGATTTATGAACAAGAGGCCTCTTTTTGATCATATAATTATATTCTATTCTTAGGATGACTAGATTAGTGGGAGGAAACCCCATTTCTTTGTTCCCTAATTATTAGATCAAATAAACTCCCCGTGCGGTGTATGTAGCCTACAGAAAACGGCATTGACATTTCTGTAACCTTAGACTCTTTAACATTTAGTTAATCTTTCACTATGATAAAAATAGAGGTGTTACTTTTAATCAAATGAGTTCATGTGCCTGCTTTAACATTAATGGGATAGCTGCTCGGCTGTAAAAAAGAAATAATTATAATAGGAACGCTTTGTGTAGCAACTGTACTTTTCTCTAAGAATAATGAGCGTCATCATCTCAGTATGAGGTCAAAGAGACCCCAAACTGCTCTTGAGAATAATGCGGTGACTGTTACCTTTCTGCTTAACCGCACATGCTGATGTACTCCCGCAGCCTGTTTGTCATGTAAAGACCCGCTCAGACCCTCAGCAGGAGATGCTTGCACCCTGATCAAGTGTCTGTGTCTCCTCCTTCCCTCATTCCCTCATTTCCGCCCACACCGTCTAGCCCTTCCAGGACCCTGCCCGGGTCGGAGCTGGACTCCGGCGCTGAAGTAAACTCATACCCTGAAAACTACATTTAAAATAATTCAAAATAAAGCAGTTGGGTTTAACAGTTCCGCTTGTTGTTTTTTTCCTAGGAGGAAACATATCCCCCCAAACTGTTGTTTATGTCCTTAAAGTAGATTCCATATGATTTTGTTTATTTTTATTTTTGCCCAAATTTTTCCTATTAAGGCAGGGTTTAATTAGATTAGATTTTCTTCTAGTTCTTCTAGTTCATATTGAGTTTTTTTAACTTCTAGTTATAGAAAAATTAGACTGTTACTGAGCATTAGTATTGTGCTACAGAATTAGCTACAGAATCGTGGTTCTTAGGATTAGCTACAGAATAACAAAATAGCGTGTTCATTCTACTTAGTCATTAACTCCTCTCAGGCTGTCTAATCTCCCCTAAAATACCATTTTCTTTCTTTTTTTTTTTTTTAAATGTACTTATTTATTTATACAAGCACTGGATACAGTCAGAAGCATGAGAGGGTGAGAGAATTCACCAGAGCCAGAGCTGGGAACAGAACAGGCTGGCTGACAAAGAAATACACTTCTAAGGGGAGCAGCGGGCGCAGCATGAGAGGTCTGTGCGCTATGTAGGACCCTCGCCCGCCCGGTGGCCGGGGATCAAATGGCACTGCAGAGGCTGCGGGCAGCTTTGCAGCCCAGCGCTCAACCCTTGCGCCACCAGGGGAGGCCCTAAAATACCATTTTCATTTTATCTTGTCCTCAAAAACATTACAGTGGTGTGCTGTTGTGGTTTTTTGCTTGTTTTTTTGCAGGGGTGGGTATCTTCCAATATAAATACTGTAGTTAACTGGCTTTATTTCTACTCCTTCACTCTTCAGTACAACGTTCTGCTTTAGTTACTGTCTATCTAGTTGTTTCAGAGTTCCTTTATAGAGAGGAAACCAGAATTGGATAGTCACAGGGAAAGAGTGGGGGGAGATAGAGAAAGATTTTGATGCAGAGCCACAGATAATTATTATAAGGGCATTTGGTATGATATATAAGTGGTTTAGAGTCTAGCTGTAGAAAACTGTTTTAAGCAGTCTTCTCCTTCCCTCTCCATGCTGTTTATTGAATGCATTTTGGGACCAAATTCTGTAAAATTTGCACAGTATCACTATAATTGTCATTATGAATGATACCCTAAATTACACATTGATTTAGAAAATTATACATTAGGCACACACTAAAAATAATTTAATACTACTTTCTCTTAGAGGCATAGCATATGACATAGAAAAATATTTTCATCATTTGTGGGTTTAACCCCTCCCCACCCTCCGCCCTTTCATTTTTAAAGAGTCTCATCTACCTTCTGTCAACAAATAACCGTTTTGGATGCTTCTGATAATAAGGAATTCACTGTCTTACAATTTACCCATCATATTGTTCTTAGTTTTATCCTTGAGAGCTACCCAAAATAAATCTACTCTGTGCTTCAGTACCTACTGAACAGGGGATGGAGGTATAAAGCCAGAACCTACAGGTGATTGCTTCTTAAGCCATATTGTTCCATTGCCAGTTTGGAGTAACACTCGAATTTGGTGTACAGTTCAGGTGCTTCAATTGCCTTAATTGCCCTGATGATATAGCTTTGCATTTATAAATGTTCTGGTTAAGTCTAGATTCTTAGAGAATCTTCTTGCTAAAAGAATTGTCTTGGGTCCCAAAATTTTAACTTTCCATCAGATTGAAGAGTTTAGTTTTCTATTAAGTATTCCAGTTCCTTCACCATAGTCCTCATAAATTGTTTTAGTAAATATTGTTTTACTAATCTCATCCTCCTTATTACTGCCTTCTAAATAAATGAAGAATTGCCTGAATGACATTAGTTTGACTCTCTTTTTTGGATTTCCACCTGTGCTTGTGACCATCAGAGCCATTCTCTGGTCATTCCTGGCAGTTCTTGAATAAGTAGGGTGTTGTTGGTCTTACTAAAGAGTAGACTCTATTCTGAGAGAGGAAATTTCTACTGTGTTTGGAACAGAGACTGTCTTGACAAGATTATATTTTAGAACAATCACTGGCTACTATAATGGGGGCCTATAAGACTATTAACACAGGTTAGAGATCAGTGGTGGTGGTGGTTTGGACTAGAGTTGTGTTAGTAGGAGTGGTGGGAAGGCGTCAGATTTTGAATATGCACTCATGGAGGAACCTATGAGAATTACTGATGGATTGGATGTGAAGTGTGAGAGAGAGAAGAATCAAATTTTTGGCCTGAGCAACTGGTAGAATATCATTTATTTGAGATGGGACTAAATGTTAAATTTTAGTGTTGGTGTCTGTAATCTGTTGTCTTAGTTCACATCCTAGCATGGAATACTCCTTTACTCCCTAGTCTGCAAGCTTAAAAAAAAAAAAAAGTCCACTTTCCATAAGCATTTAATTTTTACTCTTTTCTGAAAAGCCAGTGTGTTTGGGAATCATTTTACTACTGGATGTGGTATTATAAGGAAATGACTCACTAAGAAACGCAACAATAACCTAAAATGAGAGGATTGAGGGCATCCCCGGTGGCGCAGCGGTTGAGCACTGGGTTGCGAAGCTGCCCACAGCCTCTGCAGCGCCGGTTTGATCCCCGGCTGCTCCCTGGCCACCGGAGGAGGGTCCCGCATGGCGTGCAGACCTCTCCTGCCGCCCGCTGCTCCCCTCAGCAGTGTACTTCGGTCCTTCTGCCTGCTCTGCTCCCCGCTCTGGCTCTGGCTCTGGTGAATTCTCTCACCCTCCTGCGCTTCTGACTGTACCCAGTGCTTGTATAAATAAATAAAATAAATAAATAAATCTTTAAAAAAAAATGAGAGGATTAAGGATTAGCCTTAGATTTTGTTGTTGTTGTTTTGAAAAGTCTAAGACAAGTTTAATGCCCTGCTTAAAATCAGTGTTCTAGCAGGTATTTTAGAGGTTAAAATTGAACTGGAGAGATGTTTTACTCTTCCATTGGCAAGCGATTCTGTGAGAAGACCAATGCTTTATGAGAATATAGGTGTGTTATGCTTTCCTATACTGCAATTTATTTCTATCTTTCTTTTGCCTTATCTTTTACTTTAGCTTTGTAAGATGTATTAGAGAACCACTGAAAATGTAAAATTTCATAAACTAACACTGGACAAATATATAATAATATTAGGCACATACTTTGATTATTCATATCCCTTTATAAATAACCTCTCCTCTGCCATAGGGTCTACTTTGAGGCTTGATTCTATCTCACCTTTTCCCTTGTCGAATACCTTCCAGTATTTTTAATTATGATCTATTTTTAATTTTACCTTTGAAAGCCTGGGGTAAATAAGACATTTCCAAAATAGCACATCAATGGAAGATTCTTTTGAATAACCTTATGTTGTGTTTAAATTAGGACTATTGGCAATTCAAAATAATCAATAAAAAGTTAGGAATTGTCTCCATGGGAGCTCTGTTGGAGCTGCAGGGTGGGGTGGAAAGGGTAATTTCAGAGCTTTAGGCACTTCTGAAATCTGTGTAGAGGAGTTCTTTCTCAAAGCTGGAAGATGTTGTAACACCACTTGTCTAGAGAGAGAGGGAAAAAGCACCAGGGAGTGTTCCCACAATTTCTTTTACTATTATGTGAACTGCCTTTTGTATTTGTTTATATATAATTCTCTCCCTCATTCCTTACCCTTTTTTTCCCTTTTCCTTTTTAAAAACAGTGCATTTGCCCAGAATAACATGGATCAGTTCACGCCTGTGAAGATAGAAGGATAGAAGATCAGGTAATCAGTGTTCCTGTTGGACAGCTGTGCCTGGGAAGTTGAAATCCTGTATACTAACAGTGTCTGAAGATGCTGAATAAATTTATAGTTTATAGTTTTTTAGGAAATTCTTCCATCTCACTGGTGTACTAGATGGTATCTTTCAGGTAAAGAGATTTGCATTTCCCTGATGAAAGTGATGTTGAACATTTTTTCATATCTGTTGGCCATTTGCATTTCCTCTTCCTTTTAGTCTCTGCCCATTTTTTGACTGGATTATTTCTTTGTTGTTGTTGAGTCTCATCAGCTCTTTGCAGATTTTTGGATCAGTCCTTTCATTAGTGTTGGGTGCAAATGTTCTCCAGTTGTGGGGTTTCTCTTTGTTTTTGTTATTGTCTCTTTTGCTGTGCAAAAGCTCTTTAATTTGATATAGTCCAGCTGTTTATCTTTTCCTTCACTATCACTGCTTTGGGTGATGTGTCTGTAAAGATGTCTTTGATGTGCAAATCACGTAGTGTTTCGCCTATATTTCCTTCTATATATTTTATGGTTTCAGGTCTTATGTCTAGTTCTTTAAATCCATTTTGAGTTGATTTTTGTGTATGGTGTGAGGGTGGTGGTCAGCTTCATTCTTTTGCATGTAGCGACCCAGTTTTCCCAGCACCATTTATTGAACAAACTTTCTTTTGCCTTATCTTTTACTTTAGCTTTGTAAGATGTATTAGAGAACCACTGAAAATGTAAAATTTCATAAACTAACACTGGACAAATATATAATAATATTAGGCACATACTTTGATTATTCATATCCCTTTATAAATAACCTCTCCTCTGCCATAGGGTCTACTTTGAGGCTTGATTCAGCTCTTATCTCACCTTTTCCCCTTGTCGAATACCTTCCAGTATTTTTAATTATGATCTATTTTTAATTTTACCTTTGAAAGCCTGGGGTAAATAAGACATTTCCAAAATAGCACATCAATGGAAGATTCTTTTGAATAACCTTATGTTGTGTTTAAATTAGGACTATTGGCAATTCAAAATAATCAATAAAAAGTTAGGAATTGTCTCCATGGGAGCTCTGTTGGAGCTGCAGGGTGGGGTGGAAAGGGTAATTTCAGAGCTTTAGGCACTTCTGAAATCTGTGTAGAGGAGTTCTTTCTCAAAGCTGGAAGATGTTGTAACACCACTTGTCTAGAGAGAGAGGGAAAAAGCACCAGGGAGTGTTCCCACAATTTCTTTTACTATTATGTGAACTGCCTTTTGTATTTGTTTATATATAATTCTCTCCCTCATTCCTTACCCTTTTTTTCCCTTTTCCTTTTTAAAAACAGTGCATTTGCCCAGTATAACATGGATCAGTTCACGCCTGTGAAGATAGAAGGATATGAAGATCAGGTAATCAGTGTTCCTGTTGGATAAGCTGTGCCTGGGAGGGAGTTGAAATCCTGTATACTAACACAGTGTCTGAAGATGCTGAATAAATTTATAGTTTAGTTTTCATAGTTTTTGTAAATATTCTACATTTTAGGAAATTCTTCCCCTCTCTGATGATACTAGTAGTTTCTTTAACAGGAAAAGAGAGCTGCCCTTAACAAGACTGAAAATAAAAAGTAGTTAAGTTTTATACAGGGTTTCTAGCTGTCTCTAATTCTCCTTAGTAAGAATAATGGGTCCTGTTCAAATATAGGAACAAAACAAATGTGTTCATTTTACCATAGTTTATTAACATTGTATGGCAAGGCTTTGTAAATTCATTACTGTACAGGCTATATGACACTAAATAAAAAATTTCTTTCAAAAGTCTAAATGCTCTTTGAACCCACTAGTTCACAAAATTTTCCTAGTTCACTTATTATCCTAGGATAATAAGTATGTAATGTATATAAATGTGTATAAAAGATTACTTGAGACAAGGTTTATAATAAAAGTGAAAAATTGAGAATGATCTAAATGTCTCAACATTAAATATCTGTAGGTGAAAGTACTATGTAGCCATTGAAAACTTATATAAATATTGATCTGGAAAGAAATCAATGATATATTAAACTAGAATATAAGGCAATATTTGCAGAAGTATGGTAGTTTTATTTTTAAAACTAGTTTTATTTTTATATTTAAGTGAACAGATATGCTGTGTTAAAATCATGCAATTTACCCAGTATAACATGGGTCAGGTTAAATTCTATGAAAAGTACATCATTATTTTATGTACCACTAAGAAAGAAAAAAACATTGTCAATTAAATTCTGATGCAGCCCTAAGATGCCCTCAAGTGTAAGATGCATCCCATTTTATGAGATGTTAAATGACTCGGGGAATATATGCATCTTACGATCAAAGAAATAAAGCATACAGGTGTGCATAGAAAAGGAACATGGGAAAATATGCATCAAAATGTCAATTCTATGTGTTGGAATTACAGTTACTGGAATTTGTTTTGTTTGTTTTGGTTTATATTTTTGCTTATCTTAATTTTCTTAATAAAAATCAATTAATTATAAACATAAAAGAGAAAAAATACCAAAAGATCAATAATAAATACTGTTTGCAGTTGATACTGTTTAATAGTACAGAGGAATTATTGAAATTATGAATTCTGTGTCCAGATAAATGATATGAGAAATGGTTAACTTTGTCAGCATTCCCATATACCAGAAGTACTGAGTTTGAAAGTGTAGTCAAAAGGAGATCACATTCTTGGGGCCTCCCTGGTGGCACAGAAGGTTAAGCACAGCACTTTGAAGCAATCTGCAGCCTCTGCAGCACGAGTTCAATCCCTGGCAAGGAGATACTCACATGGTGCAGCAGACCTCTCCTGTCTCCCCTCTGCTCCCCTCAGCAGTGTATTTCAGTCAATCTGCCTGTTCTGTTCCCCACTCTGTCTCTGGTGAATCCTCTCACGACCCACAACTCTGGCCTGTACTCTAGTTCTTGTATGCATAAATAAATAAATCTTTTTTTAAAAAAAATCACATTCTTGGCCATAACAACAAGAAGACATTCCCTGGGCCCTAAATTGAGGAAGATACATGAATTATTAAGGTTGATGTTATTACTGCATATAATAAAAATTCAGCTACAGCGGGTTAACAAGACATTTCTTTTTTGTCACATAAGGAGTGCAGAGGTGATATTTAGGGCTATTACAGCAGCTCCATGATGTCACCGGAAAACTAGGTTGCTTCTAGCTCTCTATTCTGCCATCCTTGGATCTGATTTTCATTATCCTGCTCTCAAGATAGCATTTTAATTTCTGGGTACTGAATTTGTATTCCAGGAAGGAAAAAGGTACAAAAATAATGGTGCTGTTGATCATTCCAGAGGCAAGTTCTACTGATAAGTTACTGCCAGAAAGATATCACTACATCATTCTGGGAAGTAGCATATTTAAATTTGGACCCATTGGGCCTCCCCGGTGGCGCAGCGGTTGAGCGCTGGGTTGCAAGGCTGCCGGCGACCTCTGCGGAGCCGGTTCGATCCCCGGCTGCTCCCCGGCCACCGGAGGAGGGTCCCATATGGCGCGCAGACCTCTCCTGCCGCCCGCTGCTCCCCTCAGCAGTGTACCTCGGTCCTTCTGCCTGCTCTGCTCCCCGCTCTGGCTCTGGTGAACTCTCTTACCCTCCCGTGCTTCTGACTGTACCCAGTGCATGTATAAACAAAACAAACAAACAAATAAATAAATAAAAAACATGCCTCTATTAAAAAAAAAAAATGGAATTGAATAAGCTAGAAGAATCTATACAGTTCATATATACATACATTTGAATCAGAAGTAAATGAAAATTGAATAGATTGACATGTCACATTTATGAATAAGAAATACAAATGGATTTCATGCAATTCCTATGAAAATTATAGTAAACAGGGGGATCTAACTCATGTTGCAGAGGCTGCGGATAGCTTCATAGTGCTGTGTCTTAACCCCTTGCACCACCAGGGAGGCCCCTATAGCAACTTTCTTAATAGCAGAAACTATAAATAGTTCAAACATCTTCGATTCAGAAATGATTAAATGTAGTATGTAATGTCTATATTGTGAATAATATATAATTATTGATAATAGTAGAAGTAGTAGAAAAAGTAGAAGAGGAAATACAAGTAATTCATTTTAAAGGTAAAAAGAAATGCCAGCTGAATTTCTGTCAATGATAGGCTTGTAAATTGGTACAGTTCTCTATGATGGAGAACAATTTGTACATTTCTGTCAAAACTGAATGCATTTACCCTTTGGCCAAATTGTACTTGGCACGGGTACATAATTTGTACATAATGAATATACAGGTCATTCATTGCGGTATCATTCATAATAGCAAAAGATTGGAAACAGCCCAGCTAACCATTAGTAGGGGATTGGTTGAATAAATTTTGCACATTCATACAATGGAGTAGAATACAGCTAAAATAAAACACAAGGAAATTCTGAGTACTAATAGGAAGTAATCTTCTAGATATTTTAAGTTTTAAAAAAAAAAAAGGAAAAGGTGAAGTAGAGTATACTACTTTTATTTTTAAAAGTTTTATATATAAGAAATAGAATACATATTCACATTGGTTTGTATTTGAAAAAAGAAATGCTAAAAGAATATTTGAATCGGGAATTGGCAGGTGTTTTTTTCTTTTTCTGTAAAGGACCAGGTGGTAAATATTTTCAACTTTATGGGACTTCAAGTTTGTCATGACTACTTGACTCTGATGTTATCTTGGGAGAGCATCCACAGGTGATACAAAAACAGACACGCTTGCTTGTGTTCAACAGAACTTTACAGAAACATTTGGCACCTGCATGAATAGCTAGTAGAACCTTGCTCTAAGTGAGTAAAACCAGTTACCTTGTAGAGGAGCAGAAGATTGTTAGGAATTTGGTAGATGGGGGTCGGGGGGACTATTTTCATTTTTTAGTCATGTGACTATTGCCTATTTTATTTTTTTTTAATTTATACAAGAACTAGGGTACAGGCCAAAGGCACGGAAAGGTTAGAGAATTTATCAGAGACAGAGCAGGGAGCAGAACAGGCAGGCTGACAGAAAACACTGCTGAGGGGAGCAGCAGGAGCGACAAAAGAGGTCTGCCTCGCCATGTGGGTATCTCCCTGGCCAGCCAGGAATCGAACCCGTGCTGCAGAGGCTGAGGACAGCTTCACAGCGCTGCGCTCAACCCACTGCACCACCAGGGAGTCCCTGTATTACCTATTTTAAATACTAAGTCTAATGACTGAAAGCATTTCATGAAATACGTGAAAAATACAAAATTATACATTTAAGTTATTACAGCTATGTATAAGATACATATTTATAGTGCCTTCCCTGGTGGCGCAGCGGTTGGGCGCTGGGCTGCAAAGGTGCCCGTCAGCCTCTGCAGCGCCGGTTCGATGCCCGGACGCTGGCGAGGGTCCCACATGGCACGCAGACCTCTCCTGCCGTGCCCGCTGCTCCCCTCAGCAGTGTGTTTCGTCAGTCTGCCTATTCTGCTCCCTGCTCTGGCTCTGGTGAATTCTCTCACCATCCTGCACTTCTGACGGTACCCAGTGCTTGTATAAATAAATAAATAAATATTTTTTTAAAAAGATACATATTTATATATAGGTAATATATTAAATAGAAACCAAGAAAGGAAAGTTATTGTAAGAATGGAGAATTGTTGCAATTTAGAATTAACTTAACCATAAACCTTTTTTTTTTTAAAGATTTATTTATTTATACATACAAGTACTGGGTACAGTCAGAAGCGCAGGAGGATGAGAGAATTCATCAGAGCCAGAGCGGGAAACAGAACAGGCAGACTGACGAAATACACTGCTGAGGGCAGCAGCGGCAGGAGAGGTCTGCGCGCCGTGTGGGACCCTCGCCTAGCGGCCCGGGATTGAACCAGTGCTGCAGAGGCTGCGGGCAGCTCCGCAACCCAGCGCCCAACCACTGCACCACTGGGGAGGCTCACTATAAACCTTTTTATAGAAGTAAAAATGAAAGGAGATTGAAAATCTGTATTAAAGAGAAATCTGACTACATGAAAAGTTAACCGTCTTCCTCAAAAGTTTTACTTGTTTTGTGAAATGTGACAAAAAGGACTGTTTTACAGGTTTACTCATATTTATAATTATTCTTTTGAAGGTCTTAATCACAGAACACGGAGACCTGGGTAATAGCAGATTTTTAGATCCAAGAAACAAAATTTCCTTTAAGTTTGATCACTTACGGAAAGAAGCAAGTGACCCACAGTCAGAGGAAGTCGATGGAGGTCTCAAGTCCTGGAGAGAATCCTGTGACAGTGCTTTAAGGGCCTATGTGAAAGACCATTATTCCAGCGGCTTCTGTACTGTTAAGTATCTGCCTGCTTCCATTTACTGTATCATTTGGGGGCTTTAGCCAGCCAAACATTACTTTTTACAGTCTCCTCTGCGTTTCATTCCTGAAATAATTTTTGAAAGGAATATAAATGGGAAATTCTCTATAGGAAATTCCTTTTTTTTAATCTCAATGCATAAAAATTTTAAATAGTGTCCTAACATTTGTCTTATTTACGCATTACAAATGTCATTATACCCATCAGAAACAGTTTTAAAGGTCTTTACAGCTTAGACATAAGAAAAGTAAATAAAGTTTGTTGGAAAAGACATATTTATGGTATAGGTATATTTACTCAAGCTGTTTCTATGTAGTTTAGATGCCTTCATTGAATAGTCAAACTATTTGAACTAATTTTTTTTTTAAATCAAAGGTAATTTATCTTTTACTTCCTTTTGACTCTAAAAAGTAATAAATTTGGCTCTATCATTATTTCTCCTTTGTAAAATTATAGCATATGAAGAAAAATGTCAGAATATTTTAAACATGTAATTGTGATATGTTAAATGATAGTATAGTATACTGGTTAAGGGCACTGCTTTGAAGCCATACTGGCTGGTCTGTGTCCTGGCTTTGCCACTTAACTACTTGTGTGACTTTGGGCAATTATAGTTCTGACCCCACAGGATTGATGTGAGGAGGGAATGAGTTAGTAATGTGTATAAAGTACTTGGAAGGTGCATGGCCTACAGTAAGCTCAGCACACATGGCGATCTTTCTTCTTACATGCTTGATTTTTTTTTTTTTTTAAATTAATGAGGAAAGCTCATGTTGGCTAAGTGCCAAATTCCATTTTGGAGCCCAGTTTTGCAGAGAGAGACTTGACATCCTCTTTTAGAAATTGACTGTTCAATCCTAAATATACTTTTGACTTACCATTTGTTACTTATTCAAACTCTGTCACTACTCGTTCTTATTTTGGAGAGCTCCTACACTGACTAATCCTACTGTGTCCTTTCTCCCTTCACTAAGCAAACAAATGAACTACAGAAAGCCAGGGAATGTTTCTGACAGTGTCTGCTATACCCAGGTGTCTTGTTAGTAATTCTTAATTCCTCCTCAGTATTCCCTGTGATGTTTCTACATGGTATGTTCTAAACTTTGCTTACTGTGTTCGGATACATATCTAATCCCCCACATTTTATTTTATTTATGTATTTTTTAAAACTCAACTTTTTTTTTTTAAAGATTTATTTATTTATGTATACAAGCACTGGGTACAGTCAGAAGCGCGGGAGGGTGAGAGAATTCACCAGAGCCATAGCGGGGAACAGAACAGGCAGGCTGACAAAGTACACTGCTGAGGGGAGCAGCGGGCGGCAGGAGAGGTCTGCGCGCCATGTGGGACCCTCGCCCGGCGGCCAGGGACCGAAGCGGTGCTGCAGAGGCTGCGGGCAGCTTCGCAAGGCGGCGCTCAACCGCTGTGCCACCGGGGAGGCCCTCCCCCACATTTTAATAGGATCTAGACTTTGTCTTTATTCCACACTCACAAATTTTTTCTTTCTTCCATTATACTTGAATTTGATGAAGAAAGATCTTTATTCTTGATTTCATACTATCCCGTTCCCTTTAAGATGTCTTCTTCTGACTCCATTTTAGAAATGTAGTACTTTATCCTGTCCATAAACAGGAGGAAAACTTTTCCATCCGTCAATAATAGTTTCTATAAGTTGCTCCTCTTTTATTTCTTTCTGTCTTGCCCTTCCTCTCCTCCACCTTCTTCCTTCTTTGCTGATCTCTGCCATGCAGCCAAACCAGGGGCACCTGTAGTTGCACTTCCTCAGTACTTTCCTACTTCTTAACCTTTTGAATTTGGCTTCAATCTGTATCCTACAGGAACGACCCTTGGAGGTTACTCATAGTTCCAGAATTGCCTAATCAGGTGCCTTTTCCTGGCCCTTGACTTCTGTGTGGCATTTCATACTAAGTTCAGCCAACTGCTTCTAGAAATCACCTTTTGCTTCATTATCATATCAGCACCCTCTATTATTCTCTTTCTGTACTTTCTTTTTCCTGCTTTTGTGAATGTAGGCATTCCCTACATCTGTATTTCTCTCTCTCTCTCTGAAACTCATATTTATTGTAGGGAAAGTAATACAGAATTAGATGTTAGAAAAGCAGTAGATTCTACCTTCACCATTTACTTTCCAAGAGATCCTGGGCAGGAAGTTCCCTGATCCTATGTAAATGATAACAATGTGTTTCAACAGATTTACTAGACCAAAGGAAAATAATGTAGAACATTTGTGGACTATAAAAGCACTTTTTTTTTTCCATCTTTCCCTTGGTGATCACATCACCTCTCCCACCCTAGGGGACAGTTGATGTTTCTTACTGCTGGCTGGACATTGCCACTGAATTTCCCACTGCGCTAATCACCACCTTTCTAGATATCCAGGCATGCACATACTTTAGCTCCTTTCTCTTGTCCTTCATTTACAATACGTTGGTAGACTTTAAATTGTGCTTCTACATTCATTTACTCATTGGTATTACCCAGGTTTTTGTTTAGATTAATTTCATGGTCTTTTAACCAACTTCCATGTTTTCTTCCATTTTACTCTGTTTTCTCCCAAGATGGTGATTCTGGTTATATCATTTTGGTGTCTCTTTGTTCCCTATAGAAAAAAAACCTAAAACCCCTTATCTAATGTCCACTACCTGACCTAAATCTACTGTCCTTTTTTCATACGTTTGTTCTAACCTAACAGAACTAATTGCTGTTCACTGAACACGCCCTCAGTTTCCTGTCTCAATTGTTTTCCCATCATTATTCTCTTTCTCTACATATCAGAATCTCCACTACCTTCCAAGGCCAGCCTAAATGGTACTTTCCTTAAATCAGGAACAGTATTTCCTTTTGTTTTCATAGTACAACTCTCTCCCCTAGAACCTAACATGTTCTATTTTGTTCATACTGCATGAACTCATAGGAGTTGTAACTCGTACTGTCTGATTCTTTGTCTTCCAAGGATTTAGCACACTGCTTTTTTGTCATTTAGATTAAATGTGTTTTCAGTCTAACTTTTTGTTTTTTGAACAATAGGTTTATGCTAAAACTATAGATGGACAACAGACCATTATTGCATGTATTGAAAGCCACCAATTTCAGCCTAAAAACTTCTGGTAAGACACTAGTTGTTCTCTTATATTTGTATCTGATTATTTTGGGGGGATAAACAAGCCAACAGATAAGACTTGGTTTTTAATCTAAGTATCTTGGGATAAATTATTTACTTAGAGATTAAAGTTTCCCATCTGTAAAATGAGGGATTTAAACATGATTCCTTCCAATTCTAAGATTTTATAAGCTATTTTTTTAAGTACTCTTTTATTGAGTGAGAATAAGTGATTAATAAAGTGCCCAGGTAGAAATCCCAGTTTTACTTGGGTTAGGGTTAATAACACTGTGAGTTAATTGCATAACTCCATTTGTTTGTGGAAGAACCTGCCATGAACTGAGTAGACATGCTTCTCTCCTCCAAGAGAACAAAAGGAAAAATGAAAGTCAAAATTACTTAGAAAAGGTTTAATGACTAGGCCACTTGGATACAAACTTACATTTGAAAGGGGAGAACCTTGCTTGTTTCAAACTAGAAATTACTTGTATCTTTTTTTCTCTTTCCCCCAACTCTTCTGCCTCTGTAGCAAATGGCCTCACTGTGGCTCAGTGCTAGCTAATTCTGAATTACTATGTGTTTGTGTGTTGTAATAGGAATGGTCGTTGGAGATCAGAGTGGAAGTTCACCATCACACCACCTACTGCTCAAGTGGTTGGAGTACTTAAGATTCAGGTGAGATTCCGACATATTACTAGGCTGTGATAAAGCATTACATCTCTAAAACAAACATGCCAATTGGTATTTGTTCTTGTATTAGAAATAAGGGCCAACTATATGTAGGTACAAAGGGAGATTAATGTCCGTGAGTAGAAATAGAATCCTGCATCCTGAGGAGGTACTTAACCAGAGCTATGTTCTGGCTTGATAAAGGACAGGTCACGTGGCATGTGCTACTTGCTTGTTTTTCTCTTTCAAAGACAACTAAGTTCTTTCCAGGAATTATCAAAGAGTGGTTTTATGAAAGAAGAAAATAAGTAATTATTAAGAAGTGATTATGTAGCAGCTATTTGGTAGCTTTCTTAGTGTTTTTCATGTATATTATATCTCACTCAAGTGTGTACATATATCAATACATATATAAAACTTAGGTCTTAGCTTTGAAAAAAACTGCATAAATGGACTTATTATTTTTTACAGTAATTTTTTTTACAGTAATGTCAATTAGATAAAATAGGGAAACAATTTTATTTAGAACTATTAATTTAGAACTATACATTTAGAGAATGTACTGAAATACACTGCTGAGGGGAGCAATGGGCGAGACAGGAGAGGTCTGCTGTACCATGTGGGTCAGCTTCCTGGCTGGGGATCGAATTCATGCCACAGTGGCTGGTGATAGCTTCAATTAATGGTATAATTGAATCAAAACATATGTCATCTGCACACACTATAGCTTCCTGCTACAAGTAACTACAACTCTCTCCCTGGGGACTTTCCTAGTCATGGCACATGCCTGACTCAGGTGAAGCAAGCTGGGCATGTTAAATGGCTCTAGAAGTGCCATAAAGGGATCAGCAGATAAATATGCCAGCTTCCTCACTCCTCTGGTGGGACAGTTCTGCTGCATTTCTCCTTAGTCTTCCAGAGTCCATCCCTGGCCTGGGAGCTGACCCACATGGCGTAGCAGACCTCTCCTATCTCACCAGCTGTTCCCCTCAGCAGTGTATTTCAGTCAATTGGCCTGTTCTGCTCCCCACTCTGTCTCTGGTGAATCCTCTCATGCTCCTGCACCTCTGGCCTGTACCCCAGCTCCTGTATGCATAAATAAATAAAATAGATCTTTTTTTTTTTTTTAATCAGTTTTCCCTGCTAGGGGAAGAGAATTCTTAAATTTAGTGTTCTGTAAAATACTCATTCGGAGTTGGTAAAGATTGGGGATGACTTAAGATATGGATTTGTGGCCTAAGCATAGGTTTCTGTGTGAACTACATATAAACTTGCTCAAGCATTGTCTCACGCAGGTTCACTATTACGAAGATGGCAATGTCCAGTTGGTTAGTCATAAAGATGTACAGGATTCAATCACTGTTTCGGTGAGTATGAAATACTTAACGTCTATCTCACTTGTATCTTGTTTTTCTTTAAAAATTTAGTTTTGATCCTAAATACTGATTCTGCCAGAAATTCATTTTGCTTTCAACACTTTGATTTGGGCAGCTTCTGAGAGAATATAACCAAGTAGCTACATTTAGTCTTTGACTCAGAGTAGTGATGATGACTTGAAAATATTCAAACTTCTTTCTTAATTTTTGAGATTTGCTCAAAGACAGCAATAGATTTAGTCCTAAAATCTTTAGTCCGTTCTTTAGGTCTTCGTATCATTAGAGAAACTAAACATTTTTAGGAGTATTTAATCAAAAGTTAGTGTGTTCTATAACTGAAAATGGGGAACATATTTTTTCTTTCTTGCCTTCTTGTATAGTTTCAGACTTCTTATATTTCTAGAAGTTATTGAGCACCCTCAAATTGCTTTTATGTGTGCCCTATATCAATATTTACGTTGTTAGATATGAAAACAGAAATGTTAAAATAGAACAATAGCAAATTCTTTACTGGCTGACATAAATAACATCTTCATGAAAAACAACTATATTTTGGGCCTCCCCTGGTGACGCAGGCGGTTGAGGGCAGTGCTGTGAAGCTGTCCGCAGCCTCTGCAGCGCCGGTTCGATCCCAGCCGGCCGGTGAGGGTCCCACATGTCGTGACAGACCTCTCCTGTAGAGCCCACTGCTCCCCTCAGCAGCGTATTTCATCAATCTGCCTGTCCTGTTCCCCGCTCTGTCTCTGGTGAATCCTCTCACCCTCCTGCTCATCTGGCCTGTACCCTGGTTCTTGTGTAAATAAATAAAAAAAAAAAAAAAAAAAAAAAAAACAACTATATTTTCCAAACCAAAAAAATAAATAAATGAGTGAAAAGAATGAAAAGAATGGCACTGATTTTCATTTTCACAAATCATGTGACATGTGACTTAATGAAAGACAACAGGATTCTCACTCTTCACCCATTTAGTGCCAGCCCTCTAAGTGATGCAGTCACCACCCTCACACAGCTCCCATGAGCTTGCTTTGTACACGCGTGAGAGTGAGAGTGAAAACGGCAAGGGTTGCTATCACCATGAAAATAGAGAACAGTTTTGCCTGTTGGATAGGAGCTGGGAATTGCTGCACTAGGCATTAAATCTTTTAGAGTTTTACCACTAATTCTTTTGTGCTTAATGGTAAATGGGAGAGAGATTCACCTCACTTTGCAACTGAATCAATTTCGGCAAAATGCGCTAGATAAATAGCAACAGAACAATATGTGAACTTTACATATATGACACATATACCCGAGGGCATTGTTTATATCCAGGCATAAAAATCTGAAGACGTCACAGTTTTTTCTTCTGCGCACACTGAGGTTGACTGGAAAGGATGTGGGTTTTGGTGAACAGTTTCAGACCCCATCCTTACTCAAAAGCTGCCTAGTTTTGGTCAAGTCTCGGGAGGGTTTTGATTTCTCATTTGCAAAATGGCGGTGATGATAATAGAGCTGCTTCACAGGGTTGTTGTGAGAATCATGAAGGTAATGGGCACAGCAAATGCTAGTTAATATAAACTTTTCATTATCTTTTTATTTACTGCTTACAAATTATTAAAAATCCATTATCTCCCTCCATCTGCTTCCATTAGAGTGAAGTCCAAACTGCCAAGGAGTTTATTAAAATCATAGAGCATGCAGAAAATGAGTATCAGGTAAGAAGATTTGGACTAATTTTTCTAGGTCTAGTACCTAAGTATTTTGCTTATAACATATTTTATTGAACTTCTGTGTCCTTTTAACATAAATAAACTGTGTCCTTTTAACATAAATAAAATAATCAAAATTTCAACAGTCAAGAAACTATAGTTTTAGAAATAATATAAGTGGGATTCTTAGCCTGCTTCAGAAATTGGAGAGAAACTCACTAGAAATATTACATCTTATCTGTTCTTCTAAAGGGCTCAAGCATGTCCTTTGACTAGTTATTTTTTCGTTCACAATCATCCTTTTTCTGTTCAAGCAACTTTTCTATAATTATCTATTAAATTATCTATTAATTATCTATCTATTTAATTATCTATTAATTATCTATCTAATTACAGACAGCAATTAGTGAAAACTATCAAACAATGTCAGACACCACATTCAAGGCCTTGCGCCGGCAGCTTCCTGTTACCCGCACCAAAATCGACTGGAACAAGATTCTCAGCTACAAGATTGGCAAAGAAATGCAGAATGCTTAAAGGCTAAATGTAGGATTCTTCAGTACATGAGAAGATAGGATTCAACATGTGGTCATATGAAATATAACTGATTTATAAACGAGAGTGATATTTTGCTAGGGCTTTCAAAGTTAGCAGGTTTTATAACCTCACGAAATACTGTTGAACCTATAGCATTGTCTTGATTCTGTTGTGTTCTCTGCCTTGTAATTTTTGTTTTTACTATATCTACTTGTAAAAAATTTTTTTTAATTCTGCCACATTTATTGATGGAGAAGAAGATCTACCCTGGAGTCAGTTTACTGTTTAGAAAATGTTCCTAGCCACGAAGCCCTGTTCTAGGCAGGTGATATGTTCTGTACTTCTCTACCCCATCCTTCAGAGCACTTCTGGTATTTCAGTGGTTTTCCCTGATTCACCAGCAGCTAAAAAGGCTATCCTAAAAACTAGTGCTGAGTGCAAAACACATTCATCCTTCCCTTTCCAACCATTTATAGCATTTCATAACTGTAGTTTTCAAAAGTAAGAATTGGGGATTTTCACATCCTTTGGAGGGGGGGCAAAGGAAGTTTTCTGGAAAATCCATGATAGCCAGCTTCTCTGGGGAAGTTGTTTTTAAATCCAAAGACTTGAGCCACATTCCCTGCAAGTGAACTTGTTTGTTTTTTCCCTTCCCTCATTGTCTCCCTCCCATCCAGAACCATTGTAGTTACAGATATCTGCATTTTTAGAAGAGTTTTACCCATTTATTATTATTATTTTGTAATATTCAAAAACTGCTGACAGACTGGGGATGTACTAGAGTATAAACTTGAAAAATGCAGATGTTAAGGGAATAATAGATACCTTGTGCTTTAATACTTTGTGGCAGGATTGTACTATAAGCAAATGAATCAAACAACTATGTAAATTACAAACAAAAATTAAAAGTGAACCAAAGTGAAAAGGATAAACTTCCAGGCAGTATCTTTCTATCGTAACCTGTTATTTAAGGGAATACTAGTGATTTGTTCTAAAAAGGATGTAAAACTTGTTCCAAATTACTCTTCCTCAGTCCTGCCTGCCAAGAACTCAAATGTAACTGTGATATAGCAACCCTTCCCAGGTATACTGGCAGGTACATGTGTGATCACAGAATACACAGGTGACATAGATATGATATGACAGCTGGTAATGGTGGACTCATTTACATTGTTTACACTTTATGACCAGGCCTTAAGGGGAGGTCAGTTTTTAAAAAACCAAGTAGTGTCTTCCTACCTGTCTCCAAACAAATGTCAAACAAGAAGGTTGTTTGTGCTTCAGCTTTGTTTTTGCTCAATAATACAGTCAAGCAGGAATGTTTTTCCAAGTGACGCATTGAGCTGTGTAAGCATTTTGTTTATTTCAAATAAAATATATTTGTATTATTTGTCATTCTATCCATCCATACCACACATCCTCTGTATCAGGTAGTCCAATAGAAATATACCTGTTTTGTTCTTAAATTGTCTGAGTCTCTCCTTTCTGAGCCATTTCTTTAGTCTTTGTTCTTCAGGTAAGTGATGGAACTGCATTTGATTTTTTTTTTTTTTTCTGTATCAGTTTTCTCTTCTTCACTTTTTTTTTAAGAGTTATTTATTTATTTATGCAAGCACTGGGTACAGTCAGAAGTGCGGGAGGGTGAGAGAATTCACCAGAGCCAGAGTGGGGAACAGAACAGGGAGACTGACGAAGTACACTGCTAAAGGGAGCAGCGGGCGTGACAGGAGAGGTCTGCGTGCCATGTGGGACCCTCCTCCGGGTGGCCCGGGAGCAGCCAGGGATCGAACCAGCGCTGCAGAGGCTGCTGGCAGCTTCGCAACCCACCCAGCCCTCAACCGCTGCACCACCAGGGAGGCCCTGGTTTTTTTTTTTAAGATTTTTTTTTTTAATATAAGAGCTGGGGTACAGGCCAGAGGTGGGAGGGTGAGAGGATTCACCAGAGACAGAGCGGGGGGTGGGGTGGGGGGGTGCAGAACAGGCAGACTGAACGAAGTACACAATTGAGGGGAGCAGCGGGCTAGACAGGAGAGGTCTGCTCACCATGTGGGACCCTTCCTGGCCGGCTGGGAATCAAACCGGTGCTGCAGAGGCTGCAGACAGCTTCACGCTGCTCTCAACCTGCTGCGCCACCGGGGAGGTCCCTGCATCTGATCTTATTTGGTGACCTTGTTCAGTGTTTCTGAACTTGGTTTCTGCTTTCAAGTATGAGAAGTCTGAATAGCCAAAGTCTTGGAAAGAACAACTCTTTTTTTTTTTTTCAAGTGTAAGTGGTGTCTCCATGGAGAATACTGCTTTTCACCCAAAGGTGGTTCAAAAGTTTTGTCTTGAGTTTCCCATTTCTGTCAAAATGAAAAATCTAGATCTCTTCCTATCTTCCAGAAAACAAGGCCCAAATATGATTAAGTCAAAATGAAGGAATCCCTGCACCTTAAACTTGGGAAATATTTCACATTGTCTTAACTCCAAATGCTGCTTTTCTCCCACACAAGTCTGACTGAGCCACAGACATGCGACAAAGGCTTTTACCTAGATCGCAACAGAGAATCAAGGAGTTGTGGTGCTGCCCTGACATCCGAGGCCAGTTCAAATCCCCACCTTCTCGAGGGACATTTAGCTATACTCACTGGACTCACTGTGCACATTCAAATACGCTCGCCTTTGCTTTTAACTTACTCTGTCAGCCTGCCCCCAGGCTATCCCATCAATTTCCGTAGCTCTACAAACTTTCGTAAAATCTCAATCTCCTGGACATCTGAAACCCTTGATTACTTGAATAATTGGAAGGAAATGAACCCTTCCTGCCAATTTCTGCAGAGACCTGATTTTCTTAACCTTCTTCAGCAGAATATGTACTTTAATTGTGTCTATTTTATCATGCACTGATGGAATCGGCCTGTGGTATTGAAGGGGTGGGTAGCTAGTGGGCAAAGGCTGATAGCCACAGAGCTGGTAGCCATAGGAGAAGGGTGGGGAAAGAACAGCACTTGTGGTCACTTCACACCTCTGGGTGACCAAAAGGGGCAATGAGGCAAAGCAGGGCAGTGGAAACATATCCCAAAGTAGGAAAAAAGCCTCCGGGAGCTTTGGAGAGCCCAGGAGAGCCCCCAGAAGTCCTATAAACAGAACAGCACCCAAGCAATGGGCTCTTCCCTTAGACACCCTCCTGCTGCCAGGAGACTCTTGCAATAAACCTGAACTTGCTAACCTTCAGTCTGATGTGTGTCAGTGATTATTCTTCAATCCCTTGAGCACAAGAACACACCCAATCAACAACCATATCTTAGGGCAAAAGTTTCCCAGCCAGATGAAAAGTTTTCTGTGTAGCCTCACTCCTATATTTGGTTTGAAACATGCTACAGATGGGTGATTTGTTTGTTTAGGATTGATTTATTTATGCATACAAGAACTGAAATACAGGCCAGAGGCACTGGGTGGGGAAGGGGTGCAGGGGTGAGAGGATTCACCAGAGACAGAGCTGGGAGCAGAACAGGCAGATTGACTGAAATACACAGCTGAGGGGAGCAGCGGGCAATCAGGAGAGGTCTGCTGTGCCATGTGGGTCACCTCCCTGGCTGGGGATCGAATTTTCACTGCAGTGGCCGTGGATAGCTTCATAGTGCTGTGTTTAACCCTTTGTGCCACCAGGGAGGTCCAAGGGTGACTTGTTTTGAGCCTGGGTGGCAGTGCTTCTGCAAGTTGCATAGTTCTAGTATTTTAATAATCATTATTATTGAACTTTGATGACTGACTCATCTAGATTCAAACCTTGGCAACCTCTCTTCAAACGCACATAAGATTAATACATATCTGAATGTCAGTTTATTAATTTGCAATTTTATGTAGAACTACCAAGCTGCCTACCACTTGGGAAATCAAAGAAAGGAAGGTTGATATAGAATAAAACTGGATGGTCCCATAAAACAAGCTGAGCTAATTAAAGTTCTCCCTTGAATAGACAAGGTACATAGAAAAATACAGATCTGTAACCAGAAGACCAGAGTTCGGGCCACCTGTCACCACCTAATGCCAGTAGAGACAGGAACTGGATCCTTAAGAAACCGCTTTAACATTTCATTTCCAGCTGGCTTTTTACAGTGAGTTGAACAAAAGACAGCTCAGCAGTAAGCAGGGCTTCACTGCTGCCAGGAGCTTGTGATGTCCAGCCCTGGATGTGCCTTATTACCCTCCTGGATGCCTGGCTTCAATTGTGTCCCAGCATGCTGAGGCTGGTCTTCAGATAGCACGGGCTCCAGATGTGTCCTTGGGCTGCAAAGTTGACTCAGAGCAGACAGGCCATAAACAAAATGAGATTTCCTACTAAACCATGCAGAGTGTCTTTTTTTTTTAAAAGACATTTATTTATGCATACAAGAATTGGGGCCTCCCCGGTGGCACAGCGGGTTGACTGCAGCACCGTGAAGCTGTCCACAGCCTTTTTTTTTTTATATAGGTTTATTTATTTATTTATACAAGCACTGGGTACAGTCAGAAGCGCGGGAGGGTGAGAGAATTCACCAGAGCCAGAGCGGGGAGCAGAGCAGGCAGACTGATGAAGTACACTGCTGAGGGGAGCAGCGGGCGGCAGGAGAGGTCTACGCGCCATGTGGAACCCTTGCCCTGCGGCCGGGAATCGAACCGGCGCTGAAGAGGCTGTGGGCAGCTTCGCAGCCCAGTGCTCAACTGCTGCGCCACCAGGGAAGCCCTGTCCATAGCCTTTGCAGCATAGGTTTGATTCTCAACCAGCCGGGGAGAAACCCACATGGCACGGCAGACCTCTCCCGTCTCACCCGCTGCACCCCTCAGCAGTGTATTTCGGTCAGTCTGCCTGTCCTGTTCCCCACTCCGTCTCTGGTGACTCCTCTCACCCTCCCGCGCTTCTGACTGTACCCAGTTCTTGTATAAACAAAAAAATAAATCTTAAAAAAAAAAAAAAGAACTGGGGTACAGGCTAGAGGTGCGGGGGTGAGAGGATTCACTAGAGACAGAGTGGGGAACAGAACAGGCAGACTGACCGAAATACACTGCTGAGGGGAGCAGCAGGAGAGACGGGAGACGTCTGTTGTGCCATGTGGGTCAGCTCCCTGGCAGGGGATCAAACTGAGGCTGCAGTGGCTGCGGGTAGCTTCATAGTGCTGAGACAACCACTTGTACCATCAGGGAGGCCCCAAAAACCATGTAGAGTGTCTTGCCCAATCTCCACTCCCTTCCTGGCCCCATAAGCTCTAAGTCCTCTGAGGGCAGAAACCAGTCTCATCTCTCCAGATCCAATGTGTAAAAAGGCATTCTATTACAGAACTTATATATTATAAAGTTGCCTACAAACATTGAACTAATGATTATTGAAATATTACTCCCAAAAGGGTTTAGCTTCCTGTGAACTCCTGATTACATTTTTGTCAACCGATCAATATATAACCTTGCTATAACCTTTCGTACGTTCCTATTTAACATACATTGTTTATTCATTAACATTGAACTCACAGGGGCCTCCCGGGTGGCGGGTGGCGCAGGGGGTTGGGCAAAGCACTGTGAGGCAGTCTGCAGCCTCTGCAGCACGAGTTCAATCCCCCGGTTCAATGCCCCAGCGGGTCAGGGAGCAACACACATGGCGCAGCAGACCTCTCTTGTTTCACCAGCCACTACCCTCAGCAGTGTATTTCGGTCAGTCTGCCTGTTCTGCTCCCCACTCTGTCTCTGGTGGATCCTCTCACCGCCCCCTCCCCCCCCACCTCTGGCCTCTACCTCAGCTCTTGTATGCATAAATAAATAAATCTTTAAAGAAAAAAAAGTTGAACTCACAGCCAACAGCGCTATAGTTCATGCATAACATGGGAATTTTCTCTGCAAGGGAAGAAAAAAGATAATATTCCTTCACCCACCTGGGTACCTGGGTTCTTGACTGAGACATCTTAGGAAAACTGAGTAACTCGCCAAGATTAATTAAGCCATCTTCTTTAAGGACATCATCAGCTAGGCCTCCCTGGTGGCGCAAGGCGGTATTAGGAAGCTATCCCGAAGCCTTTGCAGCAGGAGTTGGATCGATCTGGCCTGCCAGGGAGCAGGCCACAAGAGCAGGCCTCTCCTGACTCGCCCGCTGCTCCCCTCAGCAGTGTATTTCAGTAGATCTGCCTGTTCTGCTCCCCACTCTGTCTCTGGTGAATCCTCTCACCCCCCCGCATCTCTGGCCTGTACCCCAGCTCTTGTATGCATAAATAAATAAATCCTTAAAAAAAAAAAATCATCCGCTAAAAAAAAAAAAAGTACGTTAGGAGGTTGGGAATCTAAGGGAGGCCATTTGTGGGGAGCTACCAGAAAAGCAAGACTAACACAAGCATGGTGGTTATGGGGATCGATCAGTTCCTGCCTCCTCTGTAGATGCGGGTATAAGGAAATTTGGTTGCCCCCCCTCCCCCAGCCCCAACCATCCTGATCCAGAAGGGAGACACCCTTACAGATGGAGATTTTCCTTTACACATGTAAATATCTTTTATTAAGGGCAACCCACACAGCTTTCACAGAGCCTCCTATGTCTGCAGTTTCCCTAGATAACCAGCCTGTAATAACCCTTATACCAAAGAGACACTCTGGTGGCAAGTTTTGCTCTCTATCCCTGAGTCACATCACAGCCTTCTCGTGCTTAGTAACTCTAGACAGCACTTTAGGGCTACACTTGGAGACATTTTAGGCAGTGAAATTGCAACAGGGTGGTCCCCAGGAAAGGGGGAGGTTCCCTGCCCCACCCAAAGGAGGGTGGAGCTGAGCAGCAAGAGAAGAAGCTGCAGGAAGAGGAAGGAAGGAGGGCCTCCCCGGTGGCGCAGTGGTTGAACGCTGGGTTGCGAAGCTGCCCGCGGCCTCTGCAGCGCCGGTTTGATCCCCGGCTGCTCCCCGGCCACCAGAGGAGGGTCCCACATGGCGCGCAGACCTCTCCTGCCGCCCGCTGCTCCCCTCAGCAGTGTACTTCGGTCCTTCTGCCTGCTCTGCTCCCCGCTCTGGCTCTAGTGAACTCTCTCACCCTCCCGCACTTCTGACTGTACCCAGTGCATGTATAAACAAAACAAACAAACAAATAAATAAAACATGCCTCTATTAAAAAAAAAAAAAATTTAAAAAAAAAAATTAAAAAAAAAAAAAAAAGAGGAAGGAAGGAAGCAGGATGGAGCCAGGAGACCTGGAGGAGGTGCATGGAGCCTAGAGACACGTGAAGAAACTGCGCTTGTCTTTGGGTTGTGGACTGGGTGACACAGACGTGGGTGAGACCCATGGGGAGGTGACAATGGCAGCTTTTATCTTGATGTTGATTTTGCTCTTTTCCTTCCGGGCTTGTCTGGTTGTTTCTGACCCTTTTCTGTGGGTCCCCACTGGAAGATGCTTTAGACTTGTGGCAGGCTTTGGGGCCTTGTTCTGGGCCAATCCCATATGGATGGACTTTTACCCACGAGGGGACGGGTAACTTTGGGTGCTTCATTTAGAAACTAGACTCTTTGCCTTACCTGTATTGTTTCCTAGTTTTATTAAAGTTCCTTCCCATTAAAGTCTCCTGTGTTTTGTGTTGATGCGGCGGATGGCAGAACCCATTTAGAATAGGCAGGTTTGCGGGGCTTGGGCTGCCCCTCTCCCTGTCCTATAACAGATTCACCAATAAAAAGTACAAAAATGCAAAAAATGTGACCAGAAATAGATCATGAAAGGACATTCACCGGTAATATGAGCTTGTTCCACCTCAGCTGGAAACGTGCACAGTAGGCAACTCAGATTTTTTTGTTGTTCTGCCCATGTCCGTGAATGATGGCAAAAGCACCCCAAGTATTGATTTGGGGGTGACAAATAAATTTTAGTCAGTGAATTTGCAAATGGAGTCTACAATAAGGAGGGTCATCTAAACCAGGCACAGCCTCTCCTTTGGTGATGATGGTAGATGACCCATTTGAGCATTTCAGATTTAGGGCTATTTCTAGTTGCCTTAGGGGATACAGTGCAGGCAGAATACATCCAGTGAGACAACATTCAAATGCTGAGTCGTAGAAACCAGGAAACAGTAATGAGAATTGAGAAAGATAGTACTTAAAAAGGAAAAAACAGAACTTCTAATATCCTTCTCCAAACGAAACTCTAAATTTAATCAAGTAATGCCATCAGTGAAAGTTAACTTCCCGATGGTCTTGCGTGTTACTAGGACTCATACCAGATTCTTCTAAGTGTGGGTGGTTTGGGGAAAGGCCTCAAGGAAAGGCCTTTCAAGCTGGATGTGGAAATGGGAAGGAAAACCTTGCTAGAATTGTGTGAAAATAATCACACCTCCTTGTAGAGTGGATTTGTCCAGATGAAACTGGTTTGCAGAGGTTACACTGTAACCAAAGCCACAGTATTCATTTTGACCCAAGTCCTTACTACCTGAATGCTGCCTGAGCACCTTGAGGACATCAGGAGGGAGACCTAGCCAGACAGCAGGTAAGTTCTGTGGCCGGGAATAATGGGGACTTAGGTTTGCGGATCAGAATGGAGGCTCGGTCTGCTCATGGTGGATGCTTGGGAATGGTAACAAAAACAATTTTGAGGCCTTCCCTGTCTTTCCTCCTCTTGTTATAGGACAGGGAGAGGGGCAGCCCCACCCTGTTGCACTCTCAGGTCTTACCAGGTAGCTGGGGGAGAAGAAAGATAAAAATCTTTGGCTCCTCTCCTGGCGTTTCCCTCTTCTTTGAATAATCAATTTCTAAGAGGACTTTTTCTGCAATTCTGTCTTCCCCAGCCCTGGAGCTGGAGTTCCCACTGACTTTGCATTTCCTGTTGCTAAAGCCTGTTATTCCTGGCCTGCACTGCTAGTTGGCCTGGGAGAAGGTGCACGCGCGGGGAGCCCAGCTGGAGCTTGGTCTGGATTCTGCAATTCCTCCTCCTAGGTTAGCTGGGCTGTGTGGCCTCCGCCAGGGTTTGCTGGGGAGAACAACACCACCTTTGATATATCTGGAACGCTGGCATATTTGTTGAAAAGTTTCTTTTACAACTTTTTATTATGTTTGCCCCATTCTTGTGCGTGTGTTTGTTATTCCGGAAGATTAATAGATGCAGAGCCTAGTTTTAGGCTGCTGGTGTGGAAGCCGCACCCCCTTTCGCTTGCCTTAATGGTCCCGAAGCACACGAGCCTTTTCCTGACACCGATGCTGTGACTATTAACCATTTACTGCCTGGCATGCATGCAGCCTGGCTCTCAAGACGCTAATATTTTGAGGAAGGAAGCGCCCTTTCTTATGCACTAGCAACAATCAAAGAACAAAGCAGGCGCGTGCGGTCAGTACCCCAGAGGTGACTCTAGAGGGGAGCCCACAAAACGAAGCCTGTGTGGCAGGAACAGTAGTGACTGTAGGTCCCGCCAGAGCCCCTCGCCCCTCCCTCGCACACGCACACACCTTTATCTCAGAGGCACTTGGTTCTCCCCAAACTTCTTGGGCTCTAGTGCCTTCCAGCGTCTGAAAGCCCGCGAGGGAAATTGGGGGTGCGGGGGGGGGCGTGCCGCCTGCCTGCGCGCTGGCCTCAGCTCCCGGCGGTCTGGGGGAGGTGCAGGGTGAACGTGCCCCAGGCCAGCCGCAGCCAACCCGGGTTCCTGTCCCTGCCCTTTGCTCTTCTGCTTTTCAATAAATCCGGAGGCTCGGGGAGGCGGGTGTGGGAGTAGCCCGGGGCCAGCTTGCGCGCGCTCCCGCACTGTTGAGGGGCCCCCAGGCGGTAGCCACGTTCGGATTCTGGCTGGCAGCCAGGGGAGGGAGCTTGGGGTAAGGGGAGGGCCCTAAGGGAGGGGTCAGGCTCCTTAGGAAAGAGTTAAAGGCTGGAGGGGGAGGGGAGCGCACTCAGGGCGCACGGGGAAGGCGCAGGTAGGGGAGCCTCGGAGCCGGGGCGCCTGGGTGGGGGCGATCCCGCAGGCCCGGGGGTCGGAGCGAGGGGGTTCCCCCTGCTGCATCCTCAGACTGGGGCCGTCAACTTCCAGCTGCGGCGGCGACTTTCAGTTTCATTTCCCCGGACCCTCTCGCTGGGCCCAGCCGCCGCCGCGATGCCCAGTAAGTTCAGCTGCCGGCAGCTCCGGGAGACCGGCCAGCGCTTCGAGACTTTCCTGGTGGTTCGGGGGCTGGATGGGGAGCGAGATCGCGAGGTGCTGCGGGCCGTTTACTACCAGGACTTCAAGATCAGGTACCCCCCGGCCCACTCCCCGACCCCGCGTCGCGGGCCCAGCTCGCCACCAGCACCCCGCGGCGGAGCAGCCCTGCCCTGCCCGCCCCTGGCGCGGGGGGCGCCGTGGCTCGGGCGGGTCCCGGGGTGGCGTCGACCCCCACCCCCCAGCAGCCCCCCTGCGCGCCCACGCGCAGCCCGCGGCGCCCCAGCCCGCGCGCAATGCCCGGGAGGCGCCCCTGCGGGGAGCCCCTGCAGCCGGGAGCGAGGTCCCGCGCCCCGGGACTGCGCGCTGGGGGGCTGGGGGGGCAGGCATCGCTGGGCGTGGGGGAGGGGAGCTCCAGGAGGGGGGCGGGCTTCGCGGAGCGCGAGGAGGAAGCAGCTACTTGGGGGCGACTGTGAGCCCAGTGAGCAGGCTTTACGGGGATCCCCCCACCTCGGTCCCCTTGTTGAGAGGCCGGTTACTTGGGGAGGGGGCTGGAGAGCTGGGGAGACCAGTGTGGGAGGGAACATCTCAGGGAGCTTTGGAAAAAAGGGCACGAACTACAGACGTCCCCAACCTCCATTAGCACCTGTGGCTTCTCCATGGAGACCCGGAGCCTCGGCCGCGCTCTGGAGGCCCCTGCGCAGCCTGCGGCCGGGGGTGTCTGGTTCCTCCTTCCTGCTGCCATCCAAGACAAAATCAGAGGCTTCTCTCTGTCAAACCACAGAAATGTGCTTCAGAAGCCCTCAATCAGCAGGCTGCAGCCTTGGGCTGAAAACCAAAAAACAATGTAACAGGGATAAATGTAAAGACTTAAATGCACGAACACGGGGTGGGGTGGGGGATTTGGGCTTGGCCAACACACCTCGTGGAAAATATTTCAGGTTTTAGCAGACCTAAAAGCCAGTAATGGCTGCTTGAAAGAGTCAAAGAAGGGTTAGACCTCTTAATAGAAGTGTAGTTTGGGTGTGGAGGGAGGAGGCAGTGGCACTCCACGTTGAGCAGATCTTATCTGGAATATCGGTTTCCATAATGTCACTTTTTTTTTTAAAGATTTATTTATTTTTATTTATATAAGCGCTGGGTACAGTTAGAAGTGCGGGAGGGTGAGAGAATTCACCAGAGCCAGAGCGGGGAGCAGAGCAGGCAGAAGGACCGAAGTACACTGCTGAGGGGAGCAGCGGGCGGCAGGAGAGGTCTGCGCGCCATGTGGGACCCTCCTCCGGAGGCCGGGGAGCAGCCGGGGATCGAACCGGCGCCGCAGAGGCCGCGGGCAGCTTCGCAACCCAGCGCTCAACCGCTGCACCACTGGGGAGGCCCCATAATGTCACTTCTTAAGGGCACTTCATAGACTAGACAACATCTGGAGATGGGCAGAGGTGACCTGTTTTATGCCCCACGAGGTACTGAGCATTGGGGGGACTGTAATCCTGAGAAATAGACAATCCCAGGAGAGCAAGAGCTTATGAAAGGCGCGTACAGTACACACGTGTGCAGCACACTACAGTAAATGGTCAGCCAAAGCGAGGATTAAAATAGATTATAAGAAAAATGCTGGAGCAAGGAGGGAGAGAACAATGACCACTGAGTCCATCATCTGCATTTCACATGGCTCATTTCACCTATTTTTTTTTTTTAAGATTTATTCATTTATTTATACAAGCACTGGGTACAGTCAGAAGCGCGGGAGGGTGAGAGAATTCACCAGAGCCAGAGCGGGGAGCAGAGCAGGCAGAAGGACCGAAGCACACTGCTGAGGGGAGCAGCGGGCGGCAGGAGAGGTCTGCGCGCCATGTGGGACCCTCCTCCGGTGGCCGGGGAGCAGCCGGGGATCGAACCGGTGCTGCAGAGGCCGCGGGCAGCTTCGCAACCCAGCGCTCAACCGCTGCGCCACCGGGGAGGCCCGATTTCACCTATTTTTGCAAAAAAAAAAAAAAAAGGTAGTACAACCTGCCTCTGAACACAAGTTAAGGTCTTCTTTGGCTCTGTTAAATTATTTTGATGTAAAAAAAAATTATTTTGACGTTTGTTAAAATGGTAAGGAGGTCTGTTTAAGACTCAAGTGGGAATAGGGGTATCGCGCTAGGGAAGAAAGGTGCAATTCCACTATGCATGGGGCAAAGACTGCTGCTGGGAACTCACAGTCAGATGTAGGGGATGCGGAATTTGATAACTTATCAAGGGTGAACAGATGTCAAGCGCGGGGAGAGGACTCAGTAAACTGACAGTAGGAACATGGCCAGGACTAGGCTGAGCAGGACGAGAGGGTGGGACAGTGCCAGGGTGGATGCTTAGTCAAGAAGAGGTTCAGAGGAACCATATGAAGTTTGGTCGAGGAGAGAATCTTTGTCCACTAGTTATTTTTTAAGATTTATTTTTATTTATTGTTTCATAGAAGAACTGAGGTGTAGGCCAGAGGTGCAGGGGGTGACAGGATTCACCAGAGACAGAGCGGGGAGCAGAACAGGCAGACTGACTGAAATACACTGCTGAGGGGAGCAGCGGGTGAGACAGGAGAGGTCTGCTGCGCCATGTGCGTCACATCCCTGGTTGGGGATCGAACTCGTGCTGCAGTGGCTGGTGACTTCATGGTGCTGAGACTTTAACCCCCGCACCACCAGGGAGGCCCCTATTTTATGATTTCTAAGATGTTCTGCTCCCACCTCTTTCCTTTTTCCACCTCGTTACTCATTTAGCAAATATTTATTATTTTATTGACGTATCACTGGTTGACAACCCTGTAGGTTTCAGATGCACCTCTGCATGTGCCAGTTGTCTGTAAACACACTCAGACTCCCACACGGCCCTGGTTCCTGCCTCTGTAAAGAGTGTCCTCTACAGAGGAGTGTGTGGGCACACCTGTCAGTACTGTGGGGCCGAGGAGAGTGTTTAGAAAGCTGGAGAGCAAATCCCGGCTCTGCCATTTATAGGTTGCACTTGATTTTGAACAGCTATGTATGTAATTCTTCCATTTTCCTAACGTGTGTAAAGCAATGCTTTGGTGTCAGGGTAGTATGAGACCAAAATGAGCTATAGTCGGTGAAGGGTTTAGCCCTCATGCTATGCGAAATGAGCAAAATCACCTTTTACCTCCTGTGTTCCTGGCTTCCCCAGACCTCAGAAGGGACAAGGAGCCAGTGGCCATGTTGAGAGTAGAACAGAGGAGCATCCACAGCAAAAGTTTATTTAAAGCAAAGCAAGGCAGAAATATTTATTTGAAGCAAAAGCAGCAAAGCAAAGCTCCTGTTGCCAGGAAGGGACTCGATGAGTTGCCATCGGTGGGATTCAGGAGGCTGCTTTTACCTGTTGGGGTGTCTTTGTTTTTTCTTTTGGGGTGAGGGGCAGTTTTGCATTTTTTGTTTCCTTGGAGCTGCTGGTTGGTTACTGGCCTTGGTCTGTTGCTGCAGAGGACTCTGGACGTTGGGGCCACCTTCTCCCCTCCGCCCCCGCTTCCCTATCTCCCTGCAGCTATCTCCTGACCTTGGTCGTTCCCTAACTCATGAACTTGGAAGGGGAGGCCAGCATCGCACAGTGATGGTGAGGTGTTGCTTGTGTGGGAAGGCTTCTGGGAGATAACCAGCCTCACCTTGGGCAGGTGACTCATTCTTTTATTTAGCAAATATTGGCCAAATGCCTGGATGAGCAAAGCCACACGGAGTTGCTGTAGATACACAGAAGGAACTTAACTGTCTAAGGAAGGGGGTGGAATTAAACACTTAATTATTTTATTACTGTTGTGATAAGTGCTTGTAAAAAAAAAAAAAAGCCCAGTGTCGCACTGAGTGTCTGGTTTGGAGACCTTACCAAGTTGAGGAGTCAGGTTTCTGGGAGCAAGTGGATTTGAACAGAATATGAAGGATGAACAGGAGTTAGTGGATAAAGGACCAGGGGACAGTATTCCAGACAGGGGAAGTGGCAACTTCAGACCCAGTGGCTTGGGGCCAGAGGGAGGCAGGGTCTGCATGGGGTAGCACCTTGTGGACTATGGAGAGGTCTTTTGGGTTGTTTTTTTTTTTTAAGATTTATTTATTTATGCATACAACAACTGGGGTACAGGCTAGAGATGCAGGGGGTGAGAGGATCCACCAGAGACAGAGTGGGGAGCAGAACAGGCAAATCTACCGAAATACGCTGCTTAGGGGAGCAGCGGGCGAGACAGGAGAGGTCTGCTCACCATGTGGGTATCTCCACAGCCGGCTGGGATTGAACCCGCACTGCAGAGGCTGTGGATTGCTTCATAGTATGGTGCTTAACACCCTGTGCCACCAGGAAGGCCCTTGTTTTGTTTTTAATCTTAAATAGGAAAGTGTGGAAAATTCCAAAGTAGGAGAATGACAGGGCTTTATTTATTTTCTCATAGAAGAACTGGGGTGTAGGCCAGAGGTGCAGGGGGTGAGAGGATTCACCAGAGACAGAACAGGTGGATCTACTGAGATACCCTGCTGAGGGGAGCAGCTGGCGACACAGGAGATGTTTGCTGCCCCTTGTATGGATCAGCTCCCTGGCCTGGATCAAACTCAGGCTGCAGGGGAGATAGCTCTGAGACTAGGGCACCAGGGAGGCCCAGAGTCAGGTTTTCAGAAAGATCTTTTTGGCTTCTGGGTTGGAGAATAAATAGCTGGTGATTTGACCTCTATCCACAGTTTAAATAAGAAACATTTTACTTCAGGGCCTGGTGTATACAACTTTCCCAGAACAATATGTGTCTTTGAAACAATACATAACTCCCCCTCTCTTGTCTCCTCTGATACTCTATTTTGCTTTTTTCTATTTATTCTATTTTGCTTCAATTTTATAAAAATCCTGGCCTTGACCCACTAAGGAGAGTTGCAACCCACAGTTTGTAAAGCAGGGAACTAGATGTCCTTTGAAGATGCTTCCAAATCTGATACTGCATTCCTCTAGCTATTTCTCTGTCTTGAACTGTGTGCAAAAAGATTAACAGCAAATAATGGGCTAAGGGCATAGCCTTGCAGATGTCCACAGGTATAGCTGTGGTCCACTGAGGATGTGTTCTATACAGCTGGGAACGTCTTAA